ATGAGGGTGATTCTGTCTCCATCACGACGGACAACGATCTGCTCGAGTCCATTCTCCTCGCCCGCCAGAGCCGCCATGAAAAGGTCGACCTGTTCGTCCACGACCCCGAGAAGCCCCCCGTTTCCGCCGCACCCCCCACCATCGAGACAATTGCGCTCCCCACCCCTCCCATCTCCGCCACGCCCGACCTTCGCCGGAGAAGAGCCTACGATGACGAGGACGACGAGGCTGAGGATGAGGATGAAGATGAGTCTACGATCCGGAGATCGCGTCGCTCGAAACACCACGCACCCGTGGAGAAGGAGGTCATTGCTGGTGTTCCCAACGAGCTGCTGCTCCCTGGTGCCATTGTGACGTTGGCGGTTGTCATTGTCGGTGTTTTCACGATCTCGCGCCTGACCAGTAATAGGTAAGGGATGCGCTGTAGAGAGAGAAAGCTAGAGACAGGAAAGAGGAGGATCTCAATCACGACTTTACGAGAGTCCTTGGCGAAGCATTGTAAATATGTATCGAGTATTGTTGTCTTTACTAGACTTGAGTACCCCGACGTAAAATTAATACACCGCACATCCGTTCTATCAATTTATTGAAAATATGAACCATTGGATTATGTTAGTAGCCTTGAGGAGTATAATTGCACTCGTCGTTCTTGGTATTCCAGTCAATTGAGTGCTTACCTAACATGTGGGGCGCGTCGGTAGGGGCGTTGCGGAGACTTCCGTTCAGCTTCCCCGAGAGCTCCAAAAATTGTTCCTGGGAAACTGCAGCAGCGTAACGACTCCTGAGCACCCAACGCCGCCCGCCAAAACGCCATGATTGTCAGAAGCATAGTCAGCCGGCATGGTACGTGAAACCTCTGAAGGCTTTCAATTCAATTGACGAACTCAAGCTAATACTGACTTGTTCGTACAGGCAGCAGAGCACTGCTGGCCCCAGCAGTCGCCCGATCATGCCACCGCGCCGGCATCACGACGGACGCCCTCGTCGGCGCCATGACGCCCGAGACCTTTGCAGACCTGACCACCTCCGCGGCCCTCGGCCAGATCCCCCAGGTCGCTCCGCAGCACGATCCGGATGTCGCAGCCAAGCGCGTCGAGGCGATCGAGGCCCGCTCCAAGACGGTGCCCAACGCCTATAACCGCTTCCGCCGTCAGCAGAACCTCAACGCCCGCGTCGGTGCCGCCGTCGGACGGCCGTACGTGCCCTCGCAGCTCATCGAGAACCCGCCTCACCCGAAGGATATCAGCCTGGAGCTGCTGATGGCGAGTCAGACGCACATGGGACACCACACGTCTCGCTGGAACCCGGCTAATGCGAAGTACATCTACGGTGTGAGGCAGGGGATTCACATTATCTCTCTAGAGACTACGGCTGCGTACCTCCGTCGCGCGGCGCGCGTGGTTGAAGAGGTGGCGTACCGCGGCGGACTGATCTTGTTCGCGGGCACGCGCAAGGGACAGATGGACATCGTGACGGGGGCGGCGAAGCTCGCGGGCGGGTGTCACTTGTTCACCAAGTGGACGCCGGGCAACATTACGAACCGCGACGTGATTAACCAGGGGAAAGAGGTGCGGATCGTGGACGAGAAGGATATCACGCTGCAGGGGTTTGAGAGGTTGCAGAGGACGGGGCGGCCGCTGGTGCCGGATCTGATTGTGTGTTTGAACCCAAGGGAGAACTATACCATGCTGTACGAGTGTGGGTTGGCGAACGTGCCGACGATTGGGATTATTGATACGGATGCGAATCCGGATTGGGTTACGTATGCCATTCCTGCCAATGACGACAGGTTAGTATTCACCCCCTTCCCTTCCCTTCCCTTCCCTTCCCTAACGCCGAACTTCCCATCTAAACCCCCCAACTACCTCTCTATCTATGCCCGTTGACTAACAATGTCGTGAACAGCTACCGATCCGTCGCCGTCATCGCGGGCGTCCTCGGACGCGCGGGCGAGGCGGGCCAGAAGCGCCGTCTCGCGGCCGCGGAGAACGGCGAGTCGGAGTGGACCACCCCGCTGGAGACGCAACGATTCATGAAGGCCCAGGGGAACGCGTGGGAGAGGGAATTGAAGAAGTGGCAGTCGACGGCCTCGCACGCGGCGCACAACGCGGAGGAGGGCGAGGAGGCGAGGTTGCTTGAGATGTTGCAGGTTGATCGGAGCAAGGCTGTTGATGGTGAGCTTTGAAGTTCTCCAGCGGGCAGTTGGGGTGAAGTGAGTGTCGAGGATTGAGATGGGAAAGGAGAGAAAAGATGAGGGAGAAGGATTGTCCTGTCCTGGGACTTTGTACTAGACTACCTACCAATGTATGAACATGTACCAGTATTTCTATAGATATTCGCCCTCTGCTGCTATCGACGGGCGTTTGTCACTAATGTTGGGGGATTCCTCTGCTGTGTGAGGTTGGCAGTGATGAGTTCTTGCAGGTAGGCATACGGTTCTGGCCCACCTTGGGCCTCTGTGAGACTATCTGCCACTCGATTTCACGATAGAGCTCGATGACATAGCTGATGCAATGCCTCTACCCTAATTCGATTGATTTCAGCTCTCAACTGTAGTGAAAGCTGTCACCGTCGACAGTCATCTTGTTTGGTCTTTAACCCCCTCAAAGAAGATATTTGCTGGATGTTCATATCTTGTATACCATCGGACCCTGAACCCTTCTCAAGGCACCGTGAGCACCTGGTTTGGCGTTGACCATACGTGTTACATGTAGATGAGTAGGTACTCGGTGAAGCCTTCATATGAGACGAACGTATATCATCTCTACTCTACACGTGTCAACGAAAAATGAAACCAGCTTAATTATGTGTTTCTCCTTGAGTTTGGCTTGGCTTTGTGTGACGGGAGTGGGTAGATGGGGCTGAGTGGTTTATCTGTTATTAGGGACACGGATGTGTGGTGACCTGATCGTACCCTTCTGTTCCGTTTGCTCCTACAGCGACGTGTAGTCTTCTTTTCATTCGTACGCAAAGCTGTCGTGTCAGAATGTGGCCTATGTCCAACATGAGTACTATCGTCTACGCGGTGAGGGGATCTTCGGTGTGCCGGTCATGCATGTTTGCCCAATTGAAAGGTTTACTGTGATGAATGTACTAAGACAAAGTGAGATGATTTTCTTGAGCACATGTGATGTTCCCGGATGGCAGGCTTGAGAGCGATCTCGTCATCTAGGCTTTGGGAAACATTCACGATTTAGACCACAAGACTCATCAAGAAGTTCAGGAGCAAGTACAAAGTAAATAGATTCTTTGAATGATATCGAAAAGTTGGTATCTCAAAAACGCTAAGAAATGTGGTATCAAGTCTAAAGTCGTCCTCCGTCCCTAGCAACCAAGCTGTTGTGGTTGAATTGTCGAAAGAAGAATAAAAAAAATCATAATCATGCGCTGTGTCGGCCAAAGTAAACGGCCCAAGTAGAAGTTTCTCCTCTGCCACAACATTTTCCCCCTCCTGAGCTCCGTTTTCCACACCTTATCCCCAGATGGGCTCATCGCGAGGAATCTCAGGCATGGCCCGCGGTACGGGCAGGGGCTTCGGGGTGTCAATGTCCCTCTTCTCGGCAGGCTTCTTGCCGCACACGTTTGCATTGTTGCGCGCGGGGTCGGTGTTGCAGATGAGGCCGCCGCAGCAGGGCTTGTCTACTTCTGTGGTACTTGTGAAGCAGAGACCTGGAAGAGGAATTGTTTGTCAGTATATGTGAATGATTATGGGTGAGATGGATTCTGTGAACTGAGTAGAGAGAGACAACTAACCTCCTTCTGCGATGCACTGTCTCTTGATGAGGCCGGCGTCGACGCTGATTGCGGACGCGGCACTGATGAGGGTGACGAGGGTGAGGAGTGAGAACTTCATGTTGACTTGTTCGTGTGTTGTGTATGTGGTGTTTTGAGTTTTGTTAGTCGTGTGGTTGACTGCGTGTGTTGTAGGTATATCGGCTGTGTGTAAGATGATATCGGTTGTGTGTTGTGCTGTATTGGTTGTGCTGGATGTATGTAGAGAGCGTGTTTGTATGTATATGAACACTTTTGTGTATATGCGACGTGACGGATGTTGAAAAAGCGTTGTATGAAGAGCGAATGTTGGTCGATAAAAGAAAGGCTAGCAGTCTGCTGTCACAGAAATGGATGGAGAGACCAAGCTGATAAGTTTAATGACACTATCGAAAGGATAGGAGGCGCCACGGGAAATTTCGTGGATGTCAATAGCGCTATATAACCTTAGTCCAACCTTCTTTGATTGATTACCACCCCAATCAAATTATCAACTACCACACCCTCACCCCTACCTGCCGGGCTCCGGGCCAACACCCTCCCTTGACTCGAAAAGAATAAAAGTCGCAATCGGGAAACAAGTGCTGGCCTCGACCGATCGAGGCTGTGTAGGAGGTCCCGCCAATCTGCATCAATTCTACACACCCCCCCAATCGTGACGAAGTTCGACACCTTCAGATCTCTGGGCGGCCTGGGATTCTGTGGTGTGAAGTGTCCGTCAGTTGAGCCAAGCGCGGTGACCAGACGACCAGACGTACGCGTACGCTGCCGTTTGGCACGGCGTCGCAAGTTTCGGCAGGAGGAAAGTCACAGGGTTACGCCCGTCTCACAGTCCGGTTCCCGAGTTCGTCGCAATAATGTGTGCCAGTGTGCAGTAGTGGTTATCCCCCCTTCCTGATCACTCCTTGCTTCAACCCGCGGGCGCGGAGTTTTGGAAGGGGTGGGAGTGACCGTCTAGACGGTACGCTGGTGTGTCGGTACCTTAACCTTGGGCACACCAGGGGAAAAAAGGAACACCTAGGTAGTGTAGTCACCGAGAAAAGGAAAGAAGAATAGGTGCTGCTGGGAACAGAGTTCAAGGCAACCCCGGGCTGCGGGAACCTGCGAGGGATTCTTGGAAGGGCGCAGGTTTGCGGGACAGAACATGCGCAGTTTCAGAACTTCCGATGTAATGGACCGGCCAATCGGCTGGCCGCGGGGTTCTGCTTTTTCGAAAGAAAAGAAGGTTTCTAAATATATATGAAATCTGGGTGCCGTCTGGAGTTGGTGAAGTTGGGATGATGAGGTGGCCTCCTCCCTGGCAAGACTGACATCCGTACTCCGTACACCGAAGCTGTGCGGTAAAAGAAGGGCAACTCGATAGAGTGCAAGCACGGTTCTGTAAGCCAACGGCAGGGCTGTTGAGCATAGGCATGGGCAAAGACATGCTTAACGGGGATTATGCTCGCCAGCCCTGCCGAACAGGCCGGCATACCATCTCGCGGGGATACTGTATGCCCAATCACGTCGTGTGCAATACGTCTTTGCTTTTCGAACAGATTGAGTCTGTGAATTGTAATTGAGAGAGGTCCCACTTTGATCTCCGCGCCCACGAGGCCAGATAGATGGATGATGGACATGGCATGGCGGCATGAGAGAGAAGCACGAACCACGACAGGATGGTCCATAAAATCGTGAGCATTATCGGTCCTGCCGACCAGATACCGGAGGACACACAACCCGCCGCCCGCTGAGGGAGGCTGTAATTGTATCGTCCGTCGGTCGCTTTCCTGACCCCGTCCTTCTTCTCTCGGTGTCTGCAGATCCGTTGACTTTGAGTGAGGGATCCGAACGCTGTGAGACTTCAGCACCCTCTTCTTACTCGTTGCCTTTTCTGTCAACCCAACATTAACAATCCAGACACCCCCAAGACCTTGGGTAGCACGCAAGAAGAGATAGAAACGGAGTCAAAGCAAATGCAATCCGAACAGGTTTCAACTTTCGAGCGCTGGGCTTTTAGAGTTTGGATCCTTACGTATACCAGAGGAAATCCGAAAATTAGGTCTTGGCAACCCCCTGTCTTCTCGCGTTTCCAGGATCCCGTCAGAAAGATGAGACGGAAGCATGTTCGCCCCGGCCGTTGTCGCCGGCTGGTTCAGTGCATTGTTCAGTTGCACGACACACACACATACCTACCTTATACACGCCCCCACGAATCGTGGAAGCCTCGTGCTTGGGCTGGAGCTTGACTCAAGGAGAAGCAAAAACTTAAGGCGCCATATTTGCAGAGCGCGGAAGTGCACACTTCAGAGCACCCGCGAATTTTAGCGGAACCACAGAAACTCAAGTCTTCCAAGGAACAAAAAATTGCACAAACTCTCTGCCCTTGGTCACGATTAATGTGGCCGCGTCATTTTAGCCGCTTTAATTCAAGCTAAGGCATCTCTTAGATTTGGCCGAGAAAAGAGTTTTTGGAATTAGACACGGCATTAGTGCGCCCCGCTCATCCCGGACGGAAGCGACGCCCCGAGTGAAGGGCCCGGGTCGTGCCCCACATTGCCCGCCATCCGCCCCGACGCTCGGCTCCGTGCCCCTAGGTAATATGAGATGGCATAGTAGAGATCGAAAGAGGATATCGCGAATAAAGTTGGTACAAAATCGAGAATTCATTCACAGGACTGATGCTCTCTATCCTGGCTCTTTCGGCCTCGGCTACCCGTTGCAATAAAATCCAGCTCTGGAGGGTAAATCAAACACTGCGATATAAGCGCAACCTAGTTTCAGAGCACTAAGCCAGGATATGCTCCTCACAAAAGCATTTAAATAAGTAAAGTCTGAATTGCTGACATGTCCGCTTGCCATGTTAGTAAGTTGTGAAAAAGTCTATCAAGTAAATGAAAGGAAATAAACAAGGAAATACAGGCCCACCGCCGCCGCCAACCTCATCCATGGTAATCAAGACGCCAAATAGACACCACGCCACACCATCAGACCACTCTCCTCTCACCCGTTGACATCACCCATTTATAAACTCTATAGAATAGACATCCTTTTCCCTCCCGTCCTTCTCCCCCATAACCGCATCCGCGTCTCCATCCACGACCACCCCAACCCCAACATCATCATCATCCCCCTGCTCAATCAACATATCCAGATCCCGATCCACAGCAGCCGCCTCCTCCGCCGACACCCCCATCTCGCCCAACCCCTCTACCCCTTCTTCGGCCTCCGTCGCGTTGAGCAACGCCTGGAAATCGGTGTGGTGAGGGTGGTACGGGTTATACGGGTTCTCATGATGGTGGTGATGATGGAGATCGTGATGCGACGTCGGCCCCGGCGGCTGCAGCCCGCCAATGATTTGCGGATCGATCGGCTGGAAGGACTCATCTTGTAGCATAGGGTTATGGTGCGGGTGCCGTGGTAAGGGCGAGGCCGACGGGTCGCGGAGGGTGTGGGAGGGTGGTAAGGAGGTAACTTCTGCGTAGGGTGATGATCTTGGCGGCGATAGGGGTGGGAGGTGGTGGTGGTGATGTGGATGTTGGTGTTGAAGCGAAAGAACATGATCTGCGGTGCTGAGAACTGTTGAGGTAGGCCCTGGTGATAACGGCGGCGGCGGCGGCGATGTTGAATGAGTGTGATGAAATGAAGTATTTGTGAGGGGATTCACAACCGATACGGGCGCAGCAGAAGAAGTAGTAGAAGCAGCAGTAGCCGCTGCTGCCAATGCCACCGCCGACCTTCCCTTGGCACCACCCCCGTTTCCACCCCCCAGCGCAGGCGTCTTGCCGAGCTCCTTACACTCCGTACAGTTCCGAATCACGTCGCTCGCCGTCTCCTTGATGCGGCTCCAGTGATACTTCTCCGCAATCGTCGCCGTCGTCTTGTTGATCCCGCCGTGGCCGGCGGCATGCACCTCGCGCGCAATCTCGTACTGCCTCCTCGGATCCGGCACGACCTCCTTATCCTTGAGCATCAGCCGTTCGCCTCCGCCGCCGGCCTCCCCCTCGCCCACCAGCTTATAGTGCGTCGCCGCGCTCCGGAGCCTGCTTTTCTCGGCGCGGTCAGCACCCGCCGGATACCGTCCGTACTTTAGATAAAACTTGATCTTGTCGAAACGCTCTTCACTCACGAGGTCCTCCGACTCTGCGCCGTTGCTGCCGGGGACGGGCAGGTCCCGCCCGTAGATGATGGCGTCGATGAGGGTGCCCGGGTACGAGGCGAGGTTGCCGCACCCCTTTACGCGGCCGATGCGCTTGAAGCCGAGGGCGTCCCAAATCTTGCACGAGGCCACGTTGGTCTCGTAGACGAGGTTGAAGACGGAGTAGGTGTAGCCCAGCTTGGGCGCCCAGTCGATATAGCACTCGCCCATGAGGCGGCCCACGCCGCGGTTGCGCGAGGCGTCAGTGACGAGGAAGCCCGCGTTGCACACGTGGCTGCTGCGGCCCGGGTAGTTCGGCTTGATGTAGAAGCTGCCGAGGCACTCGCGGGACCAGTCCATGTCGTCGTTGAGTTCGGCGTGCGGCTGCTCGATGTTGCCCAGCATCATGACGGCGCCAAAGTTCTGGAACCAGTAGGCGCCGAATTGTTCGGCCGCCATGGTCTCCATCATCGGGTAGGTGTCGCCGCCCTCGATTTCCTTGTTGAGCTGGTCGCTTAGGTAGCGAACCAGGGACGGGGGCACTTCGTGTCGCGAAGCGAAGGGGATGATGGTGGCGACGGTCTGGCGGTCGCGGAGCGTCACTTGACGTGGGGTGATGTCGGCCGGTAGGGAAGGATTCATCGGATCCGGGTACGGCGTAACCCCGGACACCCGGTAGATAGTGGGGCTCGCCGGGTCATCTAGCATGGCCGGCATTTTCGGGGTAGTTTACTGACTCGGCGGGGGCGGATCGGCACCGCAGGGGCCCTTCTTCCAACCCAAAGCTCCTCGTAAAGGTGTGACGAGGAGGGTGGGTACTTCGTAGTCTATAATAGACAGCTCTGTTGGCCGTTTGCGACAAACTGGATTTCGCGGTACTGACTTTTATGATACCAAAAAAGTCAAGAGTTAGTTAACATTTCACACGTGTATAGCACCAGGGAAAGCAGCGGTTGATAAGAAAATACGCGCATATCCCAAGATCATGTCTGGCCCTGCATAAGCAAACTTCCCTCTTCTGTCCCCTCCCTTCATGATGTCCGATATCTAAGACGGAGCTGAGGGGGGATTTGGAACAAAAGAGAAAATGCAGGTTGAATTTGTAAGGAAAGGCTGCAAGTAAGCCTACCAAAAATCTGATCTGACTCTGCTCGATGCTGACTGACTTTCCCCCAAATTGAGTCAGAGTAAGAAAAGCAAGACAACCCCTCCGGCCAAACTGCCGATTCGGCGCAAAAATGCAGTCAAGCAAAACGAAAAGACGGCGTGCGTGGTGGTACGGATGCACTGGTGGCTTTTGCGCTGCACTTTGGGTACGATCGGATAAGGTAATGAACCGCCTTGCCGTTTCAGCTTTTGCGATGACACCACAGCTGCTAGCATGCACGAATGCCTGACCTTGGCGGGGTGTGTGGAATCGGGGGAGCTGCTGCTGCTGTGCTGTGCTGTGCTGTTGCTCGAACGTGCTGAAATGTTCGTTGGTGATGTGTTTCCTGGACCTGAGGCCTGAGGGGTGGAGGGGTTAAAGGAGGGAGGGGAAATGCGCAGGTTGCGAAGTTTTCAAACCCGGACTTTGGGACTTGGAGAACATGTAAAGTTATGTAATGGAGATTGAGCCACATTCAGCGCCACGTTGTGGCTGAACCTTACATTGTCTTTCTGGCAGCGTTGCTATTCGTTATCTCTGAGAAGAAATAATTCAATAGTATGACAAGAAGTAAGGATCGAAACAGTAGTTGAATATTTGTGATCAAGTGCGGTCTTACGACTATACATATCATGCAGTCAGCTCTCTCGATACAGAGCTTCTTAGATGCGTTGTATCAGTCCAAAGGTAACTCACGTGAACCCATTCTAAGGCATCACCTAGATGATGTTCGGCATCGCTGCTTAGAGCATCCACAACTTTGGGTTTATTTGTTTGAAATCTGATGAGAATTCCCTGATTTTTTAGCGGTTAGCGAGCTCAAAAGAGACAGCAAAGAGCTATGGCTACAATCAAGTAAGGCAATATCCGTTCGAGAATGCCATCCCAAACACGGAAAGGACCTTGGTGGCGCAACAAGCTCGGCTTTCAACAACACCTTTGACCACCGTTGGCTTCGTTGGCTTCAAAATCTGATGTGCTGTTGAAATCGCTTAGAAATATCAAACATATACACTCTATCTAGGTTTTCTACAGTCTATTGGATATCATACAGAGTCTCACTCTCATACGCCAGTCAAGAGCCACACACATCGAAGCTGTTAGACTTCATCCGCATATGCCAATCTGTCATCGACGACATCAGAGACGGATCAACATTCCTATTCGCCTTGATGAAGACAGTCTCATAGGGGTGAATGTTGCTCCCGAAATACTTCTTATCCCACAATAAGTCACCGGAATCCGGGTGAGCCTTGCAGTACTCTTCTACTCCTTGTTCGGAATGCAGAGCGGTCATCATGGCGTCGACTTTGTAGCCGGCGTTCATGATCAGGCCCGTTGTTCCAACCTCGGCATGGACTGCGGCGTTCCAGTCCGCGTAACACCCGCTGAGACCGACGGGAGCGTCTTTGCTTCCGAAGCGGTCGTCTTCGGACGCGCTTGTTGCGACTGAGGGGTCCAAGAGGATGCTCATGCCGACATCATCAGTAGCGAAGATCATGGACTGAACATGCAGTCTAGGGATGCAGTTGAGTGTCATTCCGACAAGCTGTTTGAAAGAAATTGTCTTAGAGTTCACGTCATGTCAATATCGAAAATTTGTGAAGACTCACCTTGGTTGTCTCCGTCACCTTGCTCAGATATAAGTCCGACCAGCAAGACGAGCTCCACGCCGGTAAGAATGGCCCTCGAATGCTAGCGTTCATCGTGATGAAGCGCTTATACTTCTTCCACAAGTCATCCTTCCTCAAAACTTCGCCAATAGCACCCATGTCGAAGCAGGTGTTATCCCGCTTGACGATGCTAATGTTTGGCAGGTCAGGAATGGTGCTCGACGCGTTCGCATCTCCATTAAAGATGAAGACAAAGTCTGCGCCATTGTGGATACCCTTGTTGACAAAGTAATCAAGGTTTGCCCGCGCGCTCTCGGAGTCATGATACGCATACACGATGAGCGGCCGGTCTTTTGAAGACGCGCTCTGTTGGTCTGGAGTTGCGGGTTTAGGCGAAGAGCCATGCGCGATAGATTCAGGGATCGCGGGCTTTTTGAGGGGGGCCACCCCTGGTTAGCTGCCGGACCCAACAAACTTCGACTGTTACGGCATGGAGCACCGTAACCGCTCGCGGGGAGGGACGGGGGAAAAACACACCAGTTGGAACGGCAGTATCCACCAGGCCGATATCAGGAAGACGGCCGTGAGAAGGCCAATCTTCAGAGGTGTCCAGTGCACCCCGAGAGACGGCATTTTCGGAAGCGCTTCGTCGTCGTGAAGAGAGAGTTTAGGGTGTATGTCATCTAAAAAGGAAGAAGGAAACGCTTGGCCGGCTCTATGGAGATTTGGGCTCAAGATAACGTTGGAGCGGCGCGGCAGGGAAATCCGGACTGACGTGGAAGTGGATGACATGATTGCGAGTTGCGCTTCTGAGTGGTCAGACTACCCCGGCCATGTGTGGATATCACCAATAATAGGACCCTTGCCCCTGATGCGGAGCGAACGGAGTGTGGGAGCGGTCGGCGCAAGCGCTCACGGATGCCGACGAGCTAAGGAGATTTTGTTGCCATCGGCGGAGACTGAGATCTTGGGTGAAACGAGTTTATAGATCTAGACTATTCCAGTGTTTAACGTGCGAAAGTTGAGCTCAACACCACGAAGTTGTCGACACAAGTATCGCGACTTTTCTGAAGATACTTTCAAAATATGGCTGGCTGGGAGATTAATTCAAATTTCACGCACCCTGTTTCGCACCCATGGACTTATCAGATGTTCCTCCAGGCAGCAAGTCAGATTTCAGGGCGCTTGCGTTGGTTCAGTCTGCAAATTTGGCTTGGCTGTTGGCGCCTTGCATCCTGAACTGCATAGGACCCCTGGACAGAGGCGCCGAATCTGGCAGATATGTGGGGGTCACTGCGCATATTTGGCCCAGCATGATATTCTGGCATGCAGGCGAACGAATCACGCAGGGTAACATATCGGTGTTGGTGCAAGTTGGAGTTGCTGTGCCATGATTTTGAGACGTTTCCGTCAGACCCCGGTGGTTCTGACGATCTTTGCTGGTGCTCGTTAAAGAGTTCGTCTCACTAGTTCACTGCGCCATTGTAGTTTACCGTTTCTTTTCTCTCTGTGTTTGTCCTTTGTTGATCCCCAAATGTCAAGGCTGAGCCAAATCAATCCCGAAGTGTCTCGCGATGTCTGCAGCTCATGTAAGTCTCAGCATAGGCCGTGGAACAATGATACAGTCCCGGGGTCACACAAACCATTTAGATGGTCAACTAACCTAATTTGATAACCCAGGACCATGGGAACCAAACGCATTCCCACGCCACGGAGCAACCAGGCCTAGAAGTTGTATCACACGAACAAGAGAAGTTCCCGCACACAGAAGACCCCACGTGGTCCGGACTCCAAGTCTCCAACCATTCATTTTACGATAGCGGCAAGGAGGCAGTTTCTGATCACAACGATACCGACAAAATACACGTAATTTCGGGGCAAGACGAAGTCGGAGAGCTTGAATCTGTGCAACCAAAGCGAAGAAAACGGCTGTGGCTCATCATTGGAGGAATCATACTCGTTCTTGTGGTTGCAGCAGCTGTCGTCGGTGGGATATTGGGAAGCAGGGCGACGAAAGCAGCGCAGGTCAACGATTCGTTGCCCACGAACGTGGCTAGCCCTACCAGCACACCGACTCCCGCGGATACCTCCAACACGACAACAAAATCACAATCAATACGTCAGGGATCGCCTCTTACCGTCACCGGATGGAGTCAGTCTGGGGGAGTTGAACTGTTTCTGTTCTATCAAGACGACGATTATCAAGTGCATCGGTCGACATACGACACTACGAAGACAAGCGACAACTCATCATGGCAGACGCCCGATAAGTATAACTCTTCTGCGGATGTGAGTGCTCGTTTAGGGGCAACTATCATTCAGTATGATGCCTCATACCAGGTGGGTAAATCTCAAACACTGTTTGAAGCCAGGCGTGAGTGAGCGCTAACAGACGGGTCTCGAAAGCCGCAAACAGAAGTCTTTTACACAAACGATGATGGTCGTGTCCTCGGAGTGAGTATCAACGATGCTCTGAGCTCAAACTATGAAGAAGACAGCATCAAAAACATGGTGTTGAACTCCCGTGTCAACAGTAGCGTCGCAGCATATTGGCCTTGGGTTATATATCAGGAAAGCAGTGGTGGAATCGTCGAGGTGCGAAATCGCCTTAGGACTGAATTCTCACCGGCAGCTGAGTGGGACAAGAAGAGACTCAATATCTCTGCGGATAGTGATAGTCGGCTGGCGTTGGTTCCACTATCGACCAACTTCAGCAAGATTGCTGTCCAAGGAGGTTATGGGATATTCTACCAGGTTAATGGAGCCTTGGTAGCGCTGATACCAGACCTTGGATCTGATGAGCTCGCTACTGATTATGCGGACTCATGGCCTACAGGTATGTTGCTGCCCTTTCCTGTACCGGATGTTCATCAAATAAGCTAATCAACCAAAGACTTCCCAGCTGTCACAAATATGCCAGGAGGTGCACCCTTTGCTGCGTTCTCAGTTGCCAGAAGTTCAGATACTCTGCAGAGAATATTCACTTACGTCCTTTACCTTGACAACGATGCAAACATCAACGTCATTTACAACGATGCCTCCTCCTGGAAAACGGCTCAACCAGCTACCTTGAAGGGTGTTGACGCCGACACAGACATTACCTGTCTCACTATGGCCACGACGCACCGCGACTCTTTTACACAAGAAGTAGTACTTGGAGCGCAGTCTTTCGATCCAAGGTGCTACTTTCAACGTGAGGGCTTGGTCAGAGAGGTGATTCTGACTAATAACGAGTGGGTGGATAATGGAAACGTGCCCATACCGTAGGTAAGAAGGATCAGACACGTTCTACACGTTGTATACGTATGAAGCATTTGCTAGTAAAGATTGATGACTGAACTCTATCTAAAAATATGTTAATAAAACTCTGACTGGGATTCAGAATCGAATGCAGACACAATACTTCGATGAAAATCAAAATTGTAGGGTTTGCATCAATATGTTCGATCAAGGCGAAGACAAATAACAACTACATTGTTGTGTAGTGGTATAGTTATAGTTTTTCGCCGTAAATAGAGGGTATAATTGAAATGGCGAATTGCACATGGCAATAGACAAGATGGGTGTGCCGAAAGTGGACTGTTGTATGAATTTCTAAGAAATGGAGAATATTTCAAAATATCTCCATCAAATCGTGACAACGGTTTTTCCATCAAATCAACAGAACTTCATTGTATGACATTTCAACCTTTCATTCCTCTTAGCCAGGGGCTGTATCTCTGTAGTAACAATCAAGTGCACGTAACGGATTATCTTGCTGTCGAAAAAATCCAAGAACACTGAATTGAAGATGATTTGTTCAACTTCAGTCCTTCATGGGAGCGCAAATACCAGTAGCAAGTTATTTTGAGTTCCATCAAGGTGACAAAAAGAACCCTAAAAATGGCCTTCAGCTCCGGGATCATTTCATATTATTGCAGACAAGACCTTGGGGACTGTGTTTCAATTTATCTGGCTCAACTTCTGTAGCATAAAGTTGCATTTATCGCACTTCAATGACATTGTCGATGTTGTTCGAAGAATATTACAAGGAGAAAAAGCTTGCAATCAGTCTAGATCGATAAATCCCATTTGGCTGATCCATGGTTTGAGTTCCCCTTGTCAACTCTCAACCTAGTCCCTCAAGTCCAGCTTTGAAGGCATTCGAAATAGAGACTTGAAGCATGCTATAGAGACAAGATTCAAGTACGATCTCTAAACCTCGAACTATGAAACTTTTCACGTGGAGATGTCCAAGGATCACTTGTGTAAGGTAGGCACCCAGCTACATGCGGCGCTATCGATGTCGGCTGCTGTTGAAGCTCTACGAGATACGGACTATATTGATACCAAGTCACGTGCTTGCCTCACTTCCATAGCTCAATAGAGGAGCACGATAATTCGATCTGGCCAGAATGAAACGGTTGACATTGCTTCATAGTGTCGATATGGGAACCGCGTGTCATCCATTAGCACCCTGCTCCAATTGAGGTACTTTTTACACCCAACTTCGGCGGGCTGTTAGGATATAAGGCGGCGCGCCACGCAACGCAGGGAAGGAAAAACTCAAAAAAAAGAGCCAGTATATCTTAAGCCCCATCAGATGAACTCTTCACAGCTGAAAAAGAGCACACTAACGCTTGGCATCCACCGGTGGCCGAGCTTAACAGACTTTTCGGGCCAGGTACCATTTTCCTCACACCCTGGCTCAGCGCTTCAGGAGGCCGGTCTGGGAAACGCGCGGCCACGGACCCTCCTATCCCCATCTTCGAGTCTTCGACTCGTCACTCGGCGGGAAAAGCCTTGGGAGCTTCTTCCTCTTTGGGTCTTTGGGTCGGGTTGAATAATACCCACGTACCACTTCCGGAAGTGCAATCACGATTCGGGACGTCCCTGGCGAGGCTGTGTTACGTGTATCTTTCGATGCTTGTGGAGAATTTTGCTTTGGAGGTAGAGCGACGTAAGGCTAGGAAGAGAAAGGGGACCCGACCGTTCAATGAGGCATGGCGAGGAGCGTACCTTGATTTGGGGCATTGGGCATAGCGAGCATGTGCAGCACAAATCACCCGCCTATCGCAAAACTTACTTGAAAGTCACACAGGGCACATCTGACGGCTGTAGCCGACCTCTCCACTGGGAACGGATAAGGCATCTTCAGCTCGTGGCAAAATAACTCAAAAAAAGGAAGATCAGAGATGATCAGGGACGGTTCGAGGCCTTGGGGATCCTCTCTCGGCTCTCTATGGATGACGCAAGAAGCATGCGTGCCTGAGATATTTGCGGGAGACGGAGTCTAGAACCTTTTTTTTTTTTTTTTTTTTTTTTTTTTTTTTTTTTTTTTTTTTTTTTTTTTTTTTTTTTTTTTTTTTGTGGGGTGGTGAAGTAGCTCCTCGTCTTTTTTTTTGTTTGTTGTTTTTTTTTTTTTTTTTTTTTTTTTTTTTTTTTTTTTTTTTTTTTTTTTTTTTTTGCCCATTGAACTTTCAAAGGCTGAGCGAGCGTGAGAGAACGCGTTCCCGGTTTACTGTGGGGGAATGGTTTGTAAACATCAACATTAAGCCCCGTCTCGTCTTGACACGTACAGCGGCTGCATCTCGATGATGCGGGAAAAAAAGACATCTGCACGCGCAAGAGCGGATGCGAAGATGACTTCTGTAACGGCCGAAGAGAGACTATCGAAGAAACCAATGCAGGAGTTTCGTCAGGATGTTCAAGTGTTCTTTGTTCCAATGTTGACGTTCGGCACATGGAAAGGGGGGTGCGGACGCGGACGGGCGGGCCATCGGCGACCGGATCTAGAACTGGCATTTTGCTCCACAATTCAGCAGCGAAGTTCTCGATCTTGTCGTAGTCGGCGACATTTCAGCTCACGTAAAGATACGGAAACGACACTGTACTCCCGTACTGTCGTCCACGGCAGGCGTAAGCCGGTCTTCCGGCCTTTTCGCTGCGGGCTGCAGGGGGAAGTTTGCAACTTCGTGGAGACTTGGTTCATATTAGTGTAGTGCCTCGGGGATGGGGCACCATGATCCTGAACGGTTTCCATGTGCCTTGCCGTGGTTCGACTTTCCTATGCTAGATCGAACGTTCGGTGTTAGGGCTGTGGCATTTTGGTTCCTGGATCTCTCCTAAATCAGCCCTTTACCGGGGATATGGGAATGCAAGGCAGCCGGAATAAGATGTATGCACGGCGGCAAAGTTCTGTCTCCTTGGTATACGGCCGCCATGATTCCCAAAGTGAAGAAAGGTTCAAGCCCGACATGCTTCGATGCTCTATTTTCGTAAAGGAAGCGCCATGAATGAATCCTGTTTATGGGACTTTTGCTCGTGATGATATGGAATTTCACCAAGCTGAGGATTAGGAGCCATGTCTTGCCTAAGCAAGGTGGCGCTCATTTCCTGGAAGACGTGCCTGAATTCCAAGATTGTTTCCCTCGAACACTGGGCTGTTGGGTTTGGAATATGTAAACATGGTGGAAGAACCGTGTCGGAGCTCTGCAATTAAACATGTGAGACCCAGTCTCACATCATGGACGCGGGATGTTCACAAAGTGAGAGGGGAAATGTCTGAGAAGTTGGTGTGTTAAAAGTCATCCCATGCCCCAGACCCCAACGTTGCTCAAATTGAGATTGCTGATGTAATACGACGGCACGACGGTAGGATGTTCTGATTTTCAGATGAAAAAGGACGCCGTTCAATCTGTTTGCATGTCGAGAAGGGCGGGCCTCGGGCGTTTCTGGGGGCGTTGGATGAGGCACTTGGCTAGTGATAATTAGGGCGAGGGAACTGGCGGGATCTGCGGCAAGGCCAACGGACATTCAATACCTACCTAGATGAAGCCTAAGCCAAGCCAAAGCCCATCTTTCATTTCGCGACGGAGGATGAAGCGATGTTGAAGGGTCGAAGCCATCGCTGCCGTGGCCCGTCTAACGCTGTACGTGGCGGCTACAAGGCATCTCGTTGAACAGGCGACGCCGCAGAAGAAAAGTGAAGAACTGGGCCTTGCTCCTGCGCTTCGGCTTTTCTGATTATCTCGATGGGCTCCCACCCGAGATGGCCGTGATCGGGATCCCCATCCGGCCGCACGCACTGGAAGGATTGGGGGCGGATTTGACAAGTTTCCACAATCGAAACTGGCCGAGCTGGATGGCGGTTTGGACTACTGTGAAGATGGGACGACCGGTGTCATCAGTCACTGGCTGGCGCTCTGCCTTGGTGATTCTCGGGCTAATATGTCTCGCTCTCCTTGGAACTCTGGGCAGCTGGGCTTGCTGAGGGAACTGGGAAGGTGTCCGCGGACAATGACTCGACCCCTTCTCCAGAGCATCCACAGCGAGGAACGGCACAAAAAACTGTGGATAGAACTGAACGCTGCTGGAGGGGAGAGGGGGATTGCCCCTGCACCAACGCGTCTTGGGAGACGGGGGGAGAGTTGTCGGCATCTTGCAATAAACAGCGTAGCCGCGCAGCGAGAGAGATCGAGTGGTTGATGGCTAGTCCGTTGGCGTCACAGTCAAGAATGGACTCATGGAGCCCTCGGGCGGCGGTGCTTTTAGCAAGTCCTGGTTCGGGAACCCGCAAAGCAAGGAGTAACGTAAACCGGGAGCCGGGAACCGACTCGAGATAGGAAGCTCGGGGAGCCGATCAACGGAGTTTAGAGATGTATTATCTCTGGGGTCTGGGACCCTGGATTTGGCTTGAGAATTGGCACGTCGGGCTCTCATCACCAAAAGGGGGTTCTCGGCATGAGAGACAGGTCATCAATGATGAGAGTGGTTTTTCTTCGTATTAATCAAGAGAGATGGGACCCGTTGGAACGCTGCGAAGGTTCTTTGCGGCAGTGCCGGATGTTGGCGGTGGTATTGGTTTCCTGAAGGATGCCGCTCGGGTGGATGAGATGTGATGGTTTTGCAACTTGCGAGTGTGAAACCTACGAAATCCAGCGCCTGCTGCCCGTCGCATCGGATTATCCTGCCGAGGGGTTGCTTCTCTGCGTCTGAAGGTTTGAGCTGAAGGAGATTGCGGTCTGTGAAGTTTGAAGAGACGGGCATGTAGGGCGAATTCACGGCACAGGGAGAATCGTTGCTTCTTCAGGGGGTCTGCTTACATGTGCTATGGTTAAAGGGAGCTTTTTGTCACTTGGAAACGGCCCCCAATCAACTTACGACAGTCGGACACTGAAGACGCAACTCGCTGAGCCTTGGTGAGGGAGAATTTGAGAAGAGGACCATCTGCTGACACATGCTCCGAGGATTAGAACCCCTCGGCCTCTTTACCTGAAAAGAGGAGTCGCAGGCCGGAAAGGGCCACCCTTTTCCCTCCCTGAACCGCTCTGCCAGAAATAGTTCACAGAACAGCAACATCATCCATCAGAGCGAAGTAGCGATTGGACGCGAAACCGACATGTAGAACGCCTCATGTTCTGGAAGAATGCAGTCTCGATGAAATCCCGCATAAAGAGACGCCATATCAATCCCAGCTGCACATCGCGAAAACCGAGAATGCCGATTCTATCCAAAGTCGCGGGTTCGAAAAAAAGAGCGCATGTTCAGGCATTCAACATCATCTCCTCTTTCTTCGCTAGCATCTCGGCACCTGCCTGGGCTTCAATAGCGTCCGTTGGTTTGGATTTTTGCATATAGAAATAGATCCTAGCTTAACCTAGTTAGGCCGTCCATGTCACGCAGCATTTGTGTGTACTGAGTATTGGAGGGACTTCCATGCTTATTTCGAAATACACGTACATAAAAATTGTTCCATCGATATCAATGAATGATCAGACATCTCGCCTGCAGGAAGCCAGCGAGCAGCCCACAGTAACATGACGTGGGTTTTCCTTCTTAATTGATTGTTGAGGCTGTGCTAAGAAGCAACATCAATATCAAGCAAGGAAAAAGTAACGCATCCCGGGTCACCCCAAGCAGGTACCTGCATCGGATGCCCGAGTCTGCGGACGACTAAGGACAAGCTTCTCGATTAAGCGTTTCTTCCTCGAGAAACCCACCCCCTCTGTTCCGCAGCGGCCCAGGATATGCGCGTTCAATTGATCACAACCGCTGTCCAACAGCCGCCCAAAGCCACTGAAGAGATAGAATTCTCCAGTTGATGCAGTGGTGCTCAGGCGGTGCTTCTGGCTCTTCGAGGTGATGGTCCCCTGGGAACATGGGAGGCAGAGGGTCCAACACGTTTCCCTGGTGCGTTGGATGATGAGTCCTCATTTGCTGTCTACGTTTTCCCCATTCCATCCACGCTGCCCTCGTGGAGAGTGGTGACTGGTCTTCTGATGTCCAAATAGCCATCATCAAACTGTTCCTTTTCGTACTGCACGGAGCAAGAGGCGGACAGGAAAGCTCCTTTCACGAGGGTATGTGCTGGCTTTGGCGGAAAGACATGACCGGGACCTTCATCCTCAATCTTGCGTCTGATGCAAGCCACCTGTACACTGTCACTGTGAAGTCCTGCTTGTGAAAGTTGACAGACACAAGACAGTCCAGAAGACGAACCGGCATGCTGCAAGCCTCTCTGTAAGCCTTCTCCCAAGCCTCTTGGCTCGGCCGCCCGTCCTCGTATCCCATCCACACTTCTGGGGTAGAAGAGGGAGAAAGGGGTGGCGTTATCCAAACCAATCTCGCCGCTGTCCTTCTGCCGTGCACGGCGAGCGAAGCAGCAGGCCTCGAGGCCTCGCTGGCAATTGCATGAGCCGTTCGCTAAAGGCGCTGGAATAATGCATCGATGCACAACGTTGGCCCGTCGAATAGTGAATGACCGTTGTGTACGGACTAATTGTGTAAGTATCCGTACTTAGGTATGCACACTATTTTGTACGGGGCACTGGCGAGACTGAAATCCAACGGTTCGCGGCATCTCGACTAATCTCTCATTCGACCATCACCAGATAGCCGGCCAGACCGGCCGATTTCTCACGCACGAAGCTGCACGTTTCCTCTTCCCCCAGATAATACTCCTAATTCTGGCAACATCCAATCTGCCGTACCCATTGCATTACCCGCCCGGGTTCTCCATTTCAGTGGCTCCCGTCCCCAGGTGTTCAAGCCTTGGTGTCGGACAAGATAGGGTGATAGGATCCTTCGTACGGATACGATAGCTGACGGCAGCACCCCAACCCAAACGGTACAACCAACCGGAATATTAGCTAATACTGTAAGTTGTAACTAATAGGCGGTAGGCCTCGTCTGGGACGGTCAGCCACCGTTGGTTTCTCGTTTCAAGTTTCAGCCTGCGACTTTTGGACTGCTGCCCCCTCTCCTCCGACGAGTTTCGTTTCCCCCCCTATGCCGTCGTTTGGGGCGACGACGGCATGAAGATTTGCTGCCCGTTGATGATCATCAGGGACATAGCAGCGGCCAGCTATTACAATACCAATATCGCTCTGTTACGCTATGAAGTCGTCGGCAGACCCGCCATCGTCATTGTCAGCAGTCAACTGCTGGGCATGTGCTGGCCAATACTGCATCTCAGAGATCCAAGCCAAAACGTCCGTCCGAACAGTCAAGCGGGAAGGAATTAACAGAAATCAAAAAAGCAGGGCCGAATCCTCCCCTCTCACGCGGACGGGTACATACGTCCAGCTGGCCCGCAAGCTGCGCCTGCAACAAAGAAGACGAGACGAAGAAGAAAAGAAAGAGGGACTCTGAGGGAGGGGGAAATAGGCACGACCGAGCGAAGGTTCATCCTGTCAGGTAATCCGTGGCACCAGCGGCAAAAAAATTGCAACGGACGCCGGTGCTCAGGCGTCCCGCCGCACAAATCATGTACGGACGGGTACCTGAGTTTCTGTACGCTCACTGTGGTATTACTGTTCTGTATGGTATGGTGCTCTGTATGGCACACACACACTCTTTTTTATCCCAGTCTCATCCAAAAGCATTCTTGGGTGGTTCTGTCTGGGATGACCGTATGCACGCCCATGCGCGTGACACCCTGACAATCAGCGTCAAACACACGGCCCTGGCGGCAGCAGGCGATGAAAGAACACACGCCGGAAGAGAGAAAGAAGCTGTTCTGCATCTAGTATGGGAGCTGCCGTGTTGTGTGGTTGTACGGCAGATAACCGTCAGCAGAGGAGTTTTTCTTCGCGTCTTCGCTTTCGCAACCACGAACCACCTCCTATTCTGACTTCAAAGCGAAGCGAACGGCACATTCGGCAGATCGTACACGAGCAGAGAAGATTCCACGGTTGGAAGCGGCCGATCGGGATGCGATGCCCATGAGAAGATCGCATCCTCGAACAACGAACAGCGCTCAGACTTTCCACAACACAGATATGTCTTCACAACTCAATGCCGCTGTTCATAACTCGCCGTGGTATCATCAATGATGTAGTGAGTGTGTCAAGTTATTCACCGCCTCCCCCTTTTCCATACACCCCGTGCACAACATCAGATTTATGAAGGCCCGCGCGATATTTTCGCAGGAGGCATCGCACACCAAGAGCTCGTGGTGGTGTGTCGCATATGTGGAGGATTAAATTGGAAAGTGGATCTGATCACTCGACGGCTCGCGATAGCGTGTACCATGAACAGTCCGTTAAGTTGAGTTCATGTTATGACAAGCTGAGGCCTCCCACCACTTCATCTAACAGACTTCAGTCTCTTCAAACCGTACTCAGTACCGCCAACCCCCGATACAGCCCATGATCTGCACAGTCAACTGCGCCCCTGACGGTAATTCTTGTTCCTGAATTCTTGCCCGGGAAGACCCAAACATGGCTCACCCCTGTCGCACTACTGCGGATGTATCCAATCGACGCCAACGTTGGACAGCAGCACGAAAGACCTGTACCCAATTGAATCTGTTCGGATGGAGCCAAAGCCAGGCGCGGCATGAAGCCATTGGATAACGGCCGCGTCAAGTTCTCGCTCGACTATTCCCAAAACTGCCTGGAGCCGTGGATTCTCTTCCCCCCGTTTTCCCTTTCTTCCATCCCAGTCTGTTCACAACTTCACCCCCGTCTCTGCTCTCTCGCTGCCTATGTGCCGCTGTGAAAGCCACGGACGTGTGGCCAGGGGACCCCTTGGCTGTTACCGAACACTGCTGCAGGGCATGTCCTAGAGTCGAGGAGGGTGTCCCACTGTCGAAAGTTACGCGTGTGTGCCCTTTCGAGCTGGAAAAGTTGTGCACACACCAGATGGCAGAACGGGAAGCCATCCCTACCTTTGCCTAGACCTGCCCTAGTTTTCACTATTCAGTACTCGTATGTACACTACACACTGCACATGCCTACACTACCACCCTCCTCAAGGCTCTGTGGGCACGGGAGACAGAGCCTGAGAGGACGGAGGCAGAGACCAGAGAGAGAAAAGAGGAGTTGGTACTTGTGGTATTCTGGGTCTACACCCTCCCGAACCCCCCGGGATGCCGCAAAGTGGACTCCTAATTTCGCTTTTCCTCCTCATCTCAACCCACTCCGTGCTCGTTTCCCTCTTTTCAACAAAACAAGCCGTTCCCTCCAATTCCACCCGCTGTCACTCGTTCCATTTCCTCCCCTCCCCCCCAAGTCTCTCCCTCTTCCATTGCCTTGCCTTGCCTTGTTACTCATCTTCCCAATCTCGCCAAGGTCTCCTCCTCTTTTTCCCTTGTTCATTTACCCTCTCCTTTCAATGTCATTTACTCGGTGATATCCTCTTTTTTTGCCAGCAAAAGAGAACAACGTGAAGGAGAAAGAACAAGAGGCTTCGTAAAAGCCCAAACCAACTCGCGAAGAAACCATTAGGAGGCCTGTTTGTGCCCACACATTCTTTAGGACTCGCCTTGTTTGCCGCACGACCCGAACACGGTCCTGCTTCGACCGATACACTCGCTCAACCCTCAACATCATCATCATCCAACCCTCCTCCGATCGATCGAATCACGATTCTCTCGACGGATACAACTTATTAATCGAACTGGGTGGAAAATCGAGAGGACGCTGCTTGGATTTCGATATCTGGGAAAGCATTCGGTGGCCGACTGAACCGCACCGAGGCAACAACCCCTGAGACACGTCGACAACCCTCGAACCCGCAAGACCTGTCATCGTCTTCGAGTCCTGGAATCGATTCGAGACCGCACCTTCATTCAACCTACTTTTCGTTTCAACGCTTTCGTTATACCCCCCTCGACAACCATTATGAAGTACTCAGTAGCTGTTCTGGCCGCCGTGGCCTTTGGCTTTAGCTCAGCCCAGACTGCCACCACTACGTCAGGATATCAGAAGCCCAGTGAGGCCGCGAGGCCAGGCGCCATCACCAACCACGGATGCTACAACGCGTCATCAACGACATGGCAGAAGTACCCCGTAGAGAATATCAGTACCGGATCATGCACGTTAGAATGCCAAACTAAGCAGAAGAAGAATGTCGCCGCTATCAACGGCGAGGACTGCTACTGCGGTGACTCGTACCCGCCAAAGGTCGACGTTGTCGACGACAAGAAGTGCAACTTCCCTTGCCCATTCTACCCGGAAGAGGCTTGTATGTTACCCTACGTCTCGTGGTTCAACTTTTGAAGTAATGGCTAACCTTTGTGAAAGGCGGTGGTGTCGAAGACATGATGTACTACTCCGTCTTCAACACGGGTCTCAAGCTCGTCGTTCCCGATGAAGACGTTGCAACCACCACAACGGCCGCAGCCACCACCAAGGCCACGACAACAACCGCCGCCAACGGCGTCGTCTCAACCGTCATCGAGACCCCCGTCGCGACAACATCGGCCGCGGCAACCGAGACGCCCAAGAAGAGCACCAACGTCGCCGGCATCGCCGCGGGCGTCGTCGTCGGTGTCGTGGCCATCGCCGCCATCGTCGGCGCCGCCTTCTTCTTCGTCCGCAGGAAGCGCAACGCCGAGATCGAGGAGGAGCACCGCCGCAACGCCGCCGTCAACGCCTTCATCGGCGGCTCCAAGCCGCCCAGCAGCAGCGGCGTCTCCATGTCCGACTCCCGCATGGATCCTACCCTGGCGCACCGACGCATGAGCGATGGCAGCATTGCCGACAACCAAGATTACTCGCGGAAGATTCTCCGAGTAAGTTTATGAGAGATGAGATGTTTTAAAATGAGATGAACCCTGAAAAAGCTAATTCCCCTCATCAAGGTTACCAACGCATGAGCACCTCACATCATGACGACAAACGACCTGAAAGCCTGTCCTGGGGCTTCTTTGAATTACTTCTTTCTACACAATTCTGGCATCAAAGGCGTTTTGTGGTGTTCAATCTCCCGACGCTGGCTTACTCGGGGGCGTCTTCCGAAAAAAACGACCAGTGTCGTCGGATTTTTCATTTGTATCATGGTGTAGGGTAAACATATCTTGGGAAATTACGATATGGGTTTTTGCGTTGGATACATCTATCAAATCTCTCTTGTTTTTGGACACAACCATACACAAAAAACCCGCCCTTTCGGCCACGACCTCCCTCCCTACGCCGTCCACTCCTTTTGCAACTATCTACAATTTAGACAACTTTTGGATATCACAACCAACCTACCAACCAAACGGGGGGCTTTCGTCCCGAGACATTTCCCCTTCTACCCCCTTACCTACCCTCAAATTACGACCCGCCACTACCACAACACCAATACCTTTTTTTAAAAACACGTCACCCGGTCCGCCAACCACTCACCACCTACACTGGGTACTTTCGATTCTACCGATGGGAAGGGTTGGCAGGCCGAGATCATGTTCATCACAAAAACACGGCGGCAGTTGGAAATAAAAACCTTGTTGAACGACATTCTATGGAAAGAGTCATAACGGAGTATAGTGGCGTAACCCCCCTTCCCATCTTGTGTATAGTAACCATGGCACCTTCATATTATGAACGCGAAGGGGCCTACGCCTTGGGAGGGATTATTACACGGGCAGAGAACTTCAATATCATCTTGGATAAACCAGCTTTGGCCCTCCCTTGGAGTGTGCGCGTGAGAAGAGGAGAGAGATTTGGCCAACTTGGGCTCAACCCGATGGAAGCAGGAGATAGGAGGCTGGTGCGGGAATTCTTTTTTTGAGGTTGATACAGCGTGTTCAAAGTTAACTTGGGTTATGGAAATGTGGCGTAGTAATCGAGCAAAATATCCAATGACCTCACATTTCATCATTTTGTCCCTTCTGATCGCATTGACTTGAACGAACGGCCGTGAACTTGCAGGAGGACAAGATCCGACTGCCGCGTCTAGTACACTGGGCGTTCTTCCGAGCGCCGCCTCCGAGCTCCGAGCACGCGCCGTTTGTGTGTGACCCGGCTTGAAGAGAGTAATGCCCGACGAGGTCACCTGACATTCTACAACGGGACTGCAGCCTTTCTCCCTACCTACTTACTACTTCATCTCCTCCCTTGCAGACTGGAGTAAGGTAGTGTAACCGACTGCCAACTCTCGAGCCTGCCCCATCCCCAGCCTCCTGCCAACATTTTTCAAGCTTGGGCAACAAGACCATACCTTGTTTGCGGGCTGCCCGATGGGGGGCAGGATACTTGACCGAAAGGCCTCCAGCACGTGGGCATTGAAAACTGGGGGGAGGGGAGGGAATAAAGACAAAGATTGGGATTGGACGTTGGCTTGTGCTTGCACCACTGGCTATTCAGCGTTCAGCCTTTTCCTGTGGTTTTAGTGTGGGTGCGCTGGGGAAAGAAAATTGGGGATTGGTGTGTGTCAAGTTTAGGCCCCTGACGATCATTTTTCGGGATTTTTTTCTCTGTCCTGTTCTTTCTTGGTGTGTGTAGTCGGTCCGTTTGTGTGGTGGTGAACAGTACCTTTTTGGTCGAGTAAGCGGTCAACGAACGCTGATCCTTGGTAACTAAAACCAGTCACATCACTGAGACTAGCCGCCCGAGGTTGATACATGGGAAGCGAAAAAGAGAATAACTTTCTTAAGCTCTAGTATGTTAGATCTCAAGTCGTCTCAATTGTGTTGGTTGGTTCTTGACTTCTAGCGTTCATGGTGTCTTCGGACAGCGTGCGGTGTGTTTTGAGGGGACTGGGTGGATGAGAAACAAATGGGCGATGCGTCGAAGCCTGAAGGGGATGTCCTTGACGATGATGATGCCCATTCATCCTCTTCCAGTTCTTGGCCTGGCGCCATTTTCAGTGTCTGAGTTGAAAGTGTCTTCCCCCACCCTTGCTTAGATCTTGTTGATTGGTCTTGCGGATGGCTTGTCGTTGTTTCAATAGTGACGAATGAGCATATTCGGCCTTTTTGGGGGGCTGGATATCGGGCTGAAGTCTGACCTTCTCGAAGTATCGGGAGTTGCGGGCTCTTTGGTAATGACAACAGGGCTGGCCGTGGAGACTGTGGAGATCTGCAAAGTTGTGGACATCGCGTGGGTTTCTTTTCTGGGGATCGTTGAAGTCTCTTCCCGTCATCTAGGCTCCTCGTCCGAGTGCATTCAGTCTGGTTCCGAAGGAAAAGATGACATAGTTGCTGGGCTTTGGAGGCTTTGGAGGTGGTCCTGTGCTGCTTGATGCATGTACCGACGGGCAGTGTGATTTTCTGGTACCGAGTACGGATCCTTTTCCAAATGCCGGGTCTCGCGGTGTAGTATCCGGACGCTCGGTATGACGTCGTGATGGGAGTACGGGGGCATGAAACGTCGTTGCTTGTCCTTTAAGTTGACGAGGGCTGGAACGATATTTGGTAGCGTCATTTGTCTGACATATATCGTATCAGGTCTGCCATGGGAAGGAATGGAAGCCCTTTTTGCTCCTGTACCCTTTGAGGCTCCTTGAGATATTTGCAAGATAGTATAAGGCGCATCTTCTCATCCACCTCTGCTGTGACTGTTACATCAAAAGAGAATTGGCCATGACAGCAGGTAGCCCGGGCAGACGACAAGTTACTAGGGGAATAAGGTAGCAGGGAACGCTTGTACAACCGCATGTCTGTTTCCGACGAAGAGGTACCCTTAGGATAGACTATGCCCTCCTTCAGCTCCCATGGCCAGTCTGGGACCAGGAAGAGCTGAACCTCAGGCGGTCGATCTTTGACCTTGAACAGAACTAGACAGATGATGACATTCGAAGGCAGGGCGCTCAAGGACAACTTGATGATGCCCATAAATTCTTCAGCCTGGGCCTCCCCCACGAACCCCCGATAGACGGGGTTCCAGAGGAAGCTGGGCTCGGCCGCGAGAAGCTTGCCACATCTGCTGAGGCAGTCTCCTGGAGCCCATTCCAGCTTGAAGAAGTGGCCCGGCCGCTGCTCGAGTCTGCGGCTCTCTGAGGCCGTGACCGTCTTCCTGACGCACACGTCGATAAAACTGGGAAATGACGGCCCATCGCTCTCATACCGGCAGCGCCCAGGCGTCGCGCGGACCCAGCCCTCGGCGGTGAAAACTAGGCCGATGTAAATGCTATGCTGATAGTGGCACTTCTGGCAATTCCCTTGCATCAAAAAAGGGAGCAGCCAAGTGGCGCTTGCGTCCGTGTTCACGCCTAAGACGTAGGTAAATCGGACGCCTTTGTTGGTGATGGAGAATCCATTCCGGTCTGATGTGAGTCGATTGCATCGCATGTAATTGCCGCAGAATGTGAACTCCGCTAGTTCTTGGGCAAACATGCCTCTATACCGCTGATTATCATCAACTGCTACCCAGGCGAATAGCGACAAGTCATCTGTCTCCTTGGCAATCTCTTCTTGGAGTCGCTGAAAGGCTTTTCTGCCCTCGCCGTAGATCACGGGGATGTGGATGTCGAAGAGCCCAAAGAGGAAGTAGGCCCGATCCTCGACATGGGTAGTTCGGCGATGCGCTGCCCATGACATTTTGACGGCAACGGGAACAGCCGATAGTTCCTTCCCGAATGTCAAGATATCGATATCGATGTTGGTTATCGTCGATAGACGCCCCGACCATAAGTCTTTGGAGAACCTCAACTTCCACCCAGCATCGTAAAACTCCACAGCGGCCGGCGCGATGAGCTCTTGCAGCGTCCAGCCGCGAGTGAACCACTTGCACCTAGACAGATCGGATATCTTATGGATCCCAGGCCCAGTACTGCCAACTTCCGGGCGGAGATCCGAGAGAAATACCAAGCAGACCTTCGCCTCCTGGTACCATCGAAACATGGAGTTAATGGCTTCGCTGAGCTCGGCGCTGCTGGACTTGTCGATGCAACAGGTGTCGATTCACGCGTATCCCAGGCCCTTCTCCTGTGCAATCTCACAGGTCTTTGCGACCTTGTCAAAGCCTGCCTTGCTTTTCGTCGTTGACGCCACAGCGGTGGAGGACATCTCCTGAAAAGAGATCTCGCCGCTCTCCCAAGTGTGCGAGAGTATGGCATAGTCGATTTCGGAGGGCTCCGCGAAGCTCTCGAGGGCGAGGGTCTTCGTATTGACAAGCCACATGACTGAACAAAACAGAAGTTTTCTCAACTAAACGCTTTCGAGACGAGCGCGGAGGGTAACGTTGTCGTCTGCGAGATGTGTTTTGCACGATGTCCTCCTGTTCAAAAGATGGCTTCTCAGCTGGGAAAAGAGGGGAAAGAAGCTGAAAGATGCCCGGTCCAGATTTGGAAGTGTAGAAGGTCAGGATACGCGACGCCATTGGTTAGTCGACATAGCCTGCATGAGCCTCCCGCGATTGATCCACGGAAGCCTTGTTGCAAAATCATCATACGATCGTCCCTTTTGTGAAAGTTTCTGTTTAAATTGACACCAGTAAGCACGTGAGGCCGCCTTATTATTACATGGTGACTGGAAATGTCAGCAATGCTCGCGGAAGCATACTCGACCTACCTCAAGCCCAAGATCCCTCAGGGATAACTTCATACATGAAAATTGGAAATTTCATCCTGAGCTGTCGCCGACGTAAATGTTCACAGTAGGATATAGCACTGGAAGGGGAGAGAATTGACTGAACGCCAGCGAGAATTTGGCAAAAGAATCCCTGATTCTTGCTCAATCGCCACTATGCCGAGTTTACTTTTGATACGCCTCGCTTTCCTTGCACTCGCCACGATGCTTTCGCCAATCCTTCTTCTGGCAATCGGCACTGCAATACTTGACATTCAAGCAGCGCATACACTTCTTCAGAGCGGCGCCGTTCGTTGGCTCCTTGCCGCAGTTGGTGCACCTTTCCTTAGGCGGCGCCATACCATTAGCGCGATAATCCTTGTATTTATTCGTGTCCACAATCTCCTCCACAAATGGTACAGCGAACGTCGGGCTGATGGCAATGCGGGTGGCGTATTTGGACGCGGTGTCCCACTCTGGGAGCCCGATGAAGTTCGCAGGGAACTGTCCGCGGCCGCAGGAGCAGAGGACAGGCTCACTGGGTTCCAGCGATAAGGGTATGGTGGCGCCGGCCTTGCGGTACTCGCACGACGAATTATGGTTCCACGTCCGGGTACGCTCGGCCAGGGCAGGGAGGACCTTCTTCCAGAGGATGAGTTCCTCGTCGTTGACGGTGACAGAGGCCATCTCGAGCTCTCTCAGAAGCAGAAGGAATGGCTCTACCTTCTTGATAATGGGGAGCGTGAATGGTAGGACTGCGGCATCGAGGACGACGGAGGCAGAGGCAGCATCGAGACGGAGAGCGGAGACGAAGAAGAGCATGTGAATGCCGCCGCGGTCCGGATGGTTGAGACAGAAGAGGCCAGTTTGGCCACCTTGTTGACCCGTGGAGAGCATAGTCATGGTGAAGATTGACTCCTTAAAGTTGACGCGGGGCGAGGGGGCGAGGTCGAGCCTGCTGGCGTTGATACGCTCGCGCAGTGCCCTCTCACGGACCGAGAACTCGAAGGAGAGGAGTGTGTTGAGGAAGGGAAGCTCATCCTTTTTGGCGACGTCGATGATAGGGAGGCGGTCGAGGTTCAAGTGCGGGGTGTTGAGATCGGCTGGGGTGTTTGAGAGACCTCGTGCAAGCTGAGTCGGATAGACAAAGTCGGTGAGTACTGTGTTCGTTTCTGGATCGCTGCTAGGTTCGGCAAAGGGGGCAATGACCTCGACGTAGGCGGATGTACGAGCGATGCGAGTTTTCGCCTTGCTGGCGTCGATGAGAGCGGGGAAGGTGAGAGGATAGACAAGCTCCTTGTCACCAAACACGACGTTGATGGTGAAGGGAGACACTTGATCAAGGGTAATGGGTAGCTTGTCACTAAGGAATTTCTTGCCCTTGGTAGACAGGATATCGAGATGTCCAGTAATGGTTTCGATTCTGTCCTGTCTTTGTGATGCGTTTGCGGTGAAGGTCGATTCTGTGTCCGTGCTCTTTTCGAAAGCAATCTCCGCGACAAGTCCCGCAGCTTCGGAAGCAGCCGGATACCTTGTCTGACCGGGCATGTACTGGGTGATGAAGACGCTGTCCTCGTCAGCCAACTTAGCCTGGAAGATTCTGAGTTCGCTACCGAGAGTCTTGCTGAAGACAGCGATACTTTGTGCAGAGCTCAGGACCTCTAGGCGGACATAGGAAGTTTTGCGTTCCACCTGCAACGCCGCAGCAGAGACGTAGAAGGTTGCGATGAGCGGAGATTTCCCAAGCCAACCTGCTGGGTCTGCATCGACGGTGACCGAGAAGTCGCTGGTGTCACGGTTACCACTGGATTTGACGGTCCCAAAGACAAGCTGTACCTCGTCGTAGAAGTTGTGCCACTTGTGGTTGGCGTCTTCACCAGAGACCAATGAACCTCTGATGGTGGGAGAACTGATTTTGGCTTGGTCAGAGCCGTCAAAGACCCGCGCAATCTTCTCCCGCGGGACAACGAGAGTCACGGCCACGACCTCTGGGACTGATGTCCAGGAGTCGAACCCGCCGAGGTTACGGTTAGGCTTGATCTCTGCCCGAAGCCAGTCTTCTGAGTCGACCCCCTGCGTATGCATCTGCACAGACAAATCTTGTCTAAGATTCCCTGTGAACATCAGGCTTCTTTCAGCGGATATTTTCTGGAGCAGAAATCCGCAAGTCTTTCCAAAATTGTCGACAGATAGACGCAGCTTGAGGTAATGGAGAAGGGAGACGAGGGTGCCCCGGTGGAAGTGGGAGTAGGCCGTGTTGCGGATAAGTTGCGTGACGGATGACTTCGAGATGGACAGAAGCTTCATGGGGTTCTCGTGTGCGAAGACCTTAAGGTAGAGGCTGAAGAAGATGCTGGCTAGCGCTTCAGATTCGATTGCGAGAGGCCCAGAGGCGTTGACTCCTGAGAAAAGCTTGCTCTGTTTCCATGTAATTCGACTGTGCACTTGAGCCACTTCGTCGCCTTTCGCCTGGATGCTCTTGGTGCTCAGACCGATCAAGATCTCATCGACGCTTGAAACGGCAGTGGAGTTGGTCCAGTATTCGACCGCGCTCGCGCCTACCAACAGTGATATCGTGGGGCCGTGGCCGTACAAGAGGGTATCAAAGGCCTCTTTGGCGGTATTTTCTCTCTTCAAAAGGGTTTCGGTGAAGACAGCCGACCAGGGGTGGGGTGTGAGCAGAGGTAGAGCCGACATGAGAATGTTCAATGTGCCAAAGTGGTCTGCGAGGTTGGATGTGTCAACGGTGTCGAATGCGATCGGAGCTGTTGACTTGGCGCCGTACACATCTTGGTCCAAGGACAGGACGCGGGCATCGAATTGGCGACGGTAACATCCGGCAGACGTCTCCTTGGTGACGATTAAGTGCTGCAGAGTGTGGCAGAACGCAAGGGCTTCACTGGCGGTGGAACGGATCACCAACTTCTTCCCACGAAGAAGAGTCCCACAGGCAGTCGCCCACTCTCGGAATTGTGTCTTTGCGGCCGAGAAAATCCTGGTCCTCTCATCCTGTTGATCAGGCTTCAGAGGAGACTGTTCGGTCAAGGGGATGAAGGCCGCAGCAAGATGGAAGCCGAGGACGGGGTCAGTTCCGTAGTGCAAGAGATGGTGTTTCGACAGCGAGGCATAGAAGAGGGGGTTTGGGTTGCTGACGGCACCGTTGGGTGTAGCGTCGGCGGACTCCCAGAACTGCTGAGAAGCTTCGGTAACTTCCTGTGCGTTTTTGAGTGCAGCAGGAGCAGCTGATCGCAAACCGGTGAAAGCTACAGCGTTGCCGAAGGCAATTCTCTTCATCTCAATGGAGTGTTTGAGATTAGCAGTCAGGGCTTCGGAATTGGCGATGACATTGTCGGACGCAGCGGCATTCTCATAGCTGATCCAGACGGCACGAACGTCGTCGAGGGTGGCCTGATCACAGAAGGGCAAGACTTTGCCGTATGAGCTTGATTTCCACGACTTCAGCGACTCTGATGCTTTGAGAAGCTTCTTGACTTGAGATGATAAGATGTGTAGGTCTGAGCTGTCAATGTGAAGGTTGTAGTACAAGTTCCAGGGGGTATTTCCGGAGACATTGTCATTGTCGATGAGCAGAGAGAACAGAAAGATGTTGCGTGCTTCGGATTGTCAGCAAATACTCATTGGCGGATGCAAACTTTGAACATACCCAGAATAGCTTCATCGATGTCATTGACTGTGATATCCAGATTGCGACCAGCTGATGGCGAATTAGAAAGGTGGATGTGATTTCACCAGGACCTATGCAGCACTTACGTAGTCCAATCTCATTGTAGGCTGTGTAAACGATGTTCCTCACATCGCCGCAACCAAGTAGTAGTAAACTGGCATCGACTCCATTAGGCAGGTTTTTGGCTAAATTGATGGCCGGTGTATTGCCTAGCGCATAGAAGTAGGAGGTCGAGTTGGCAACAGTTGGGGTGAACATTGTGACTGAAAGCGAGCCTGGGAAGACCCAGATGACGTGAAAAATGCTCGATGATGAAGATAGAGAGAGAGGAGCATGGAGCACGGTCTCTATGTGCTTCAAGGTGTTAGAATGCCCCTATGAGGTCGACGCCCTACCACAAAAGGCTTGCCCGACGTGAACAAAATAGCAAGAGGAGGGGACGAATTGTGGTCTCAGACCAGCATGCAGTTGGTAGGTCAAGGAGGAAAACTCCCAAAGTGAAGAAGATGAAATCTCAAGAGATGAAGTAATGTGAAAAGGAAGCTCAACTTGATCTCTCTTTCCTCTTTCGGCTTATTCAAGCGAAAGTCGGGCAGGACGGAGGCACACAGTCTTGGTGACGAGGTGAGAGCTCTGGAGGGGTCGGTGGCAGCTGGCACCAGATGGACTTGATTCCTTCGTTATGGTTACCCGTGCTGACCGCCCTCACTAGCCACACTCTCTGCCCGGCAGAAAGAGCAGGTGGAGGCTTCAGCCACTCCATTTTGATGCTTTTCGCGACGCCCATCGCGTTTTTGTTTCCCAGCTACAGCACTTGGGGAATCAACGTGCAGCTTGCGCAAAAGTCCACGCATATCCATCACTGCGATTTTAAACGGCCGGGCGACAAACTCTTCCTTTCGATCCACATCAATCGCTGTCGAGTCAA